CGATTCTCTTTTGTTTTGTGGTGCTGACACTAATTCTATCCATGCTGTGCTGAGAATCTTGGATTGGTATCATAAATTTTCTGGCCAAAAGGTCAATTTGCTGAAATCCTCTATCTTTTTTGGTAAGAATGTACCTGCTAGTATGCAAGTTGAGATATGTCAGTTATTGCAAGGAATACAAATCCACAGGTCCTCTAAGTACCTTGGCCTCCCTCTTGGGATTGGCAGATCAAAGAAACAAACTTTTGACTATGTGGTGCAGGTTGTCAGAAACAGGGTGGCCAGTTGGAAGAACAATTTCTTATCTACTACAGGCAAAGCTGTTTTACTGAACTCTGTGCTATCTGCCCTACCAGTTTTCACTATGTCCTGTTTTGTCATGCCTAAGGCTACCTGCAAAGAGATTGCTACTATCTGTACTAGGTTCTGGTGGAAAGGTAGTGGAGAGCTTGCTGCTGGAGTCCATTGGAAAAAGTGGTCTCTCATCACTCTTCCAAAAATTATGGGAGGACTTGGTTTCCACGATCTTCAACTCTTTAATGATGCATTAATTCTCAAACAGTTATGGAGAGTTGCAACATCCCCTAATCTGCTGTTAGCAAGTTCCTGAAAGGCAAGTATTTTCCCTCTGGGTGCATTTTTCATGCCACTGCAAATCAAAATGCTTCTTGGCTTTGGTCAACTTGGATGTCAGTTAAAGAAAAATACAAGCCCTGTTTCCAGATCAGAATTGGAGATGGTCACACAACTCAGATTTGGAATGATCCCTGGGCTGGCCCTGGACTTTTAAATAGAGAGTCCAGCTCTATCAGTGCTGATGCAAAAATCAAATGGGTGGTGGATCTGATGGAGGAGGGTGGAAGGAAATGGAACATACCTTTAACCCAGCAAATCTTCAATGCAGAGGACAGTGCAAAAATTCTGAACATTAAATCCCTTGACCCCCACAGAAAAGATAGATGGATTTGGAACAATGAAGCAAGGGAGGACTTCACTGTGGCTAAGGCTTATTCAAAGTTGGTGGAGGAGAAATTTAGAATCCTTGATGTTGCTGAAAGCAGTTCATCTGGCCATTCACTAAGGAAAATCAAAAACAGAACTTGGAAACTCAATGTGAAGGGCAAGTTGAAGCATTTCATGTGGAAGTGCTTCTCAGCAGCTCTGCCAGTTAAGGAAGCTCTTAGAAGAAGGGGCCTTTTTGTTGATGCCATTTGTCAATTCTGTAGGGAGAGAATTGAGTCCATTGAGCACATTTTCTTTCACTGCAGGAAAGCAAAGGAAGTCTGGAAGCTATCACCTATCCACTGGGACATTGCCACAGATGACTCAACAAAATTCAGAACCTGGTGGCAGGATGTGTGCTCAGTGAATAAACTTGAAGTCTCATAGGCCAGAATAGAGCTAACCACTTACATCTTGTGGTGGCTTTGGAAGGCCAGAAATCTTTGGCTATTTAAAAATGAATGGCTGCCAACTCCTTGCATAGTTAAGCTAGCTAGGAATGATTGGCAGGAATTTGTCATGACGAAACAACCCAGTCAGTGAGATGTGGAAGTGTGCCTAGGTTCTTATGTTCAGTGGATGTTTCTGTTTCTGCTGGCAGGGTGATGGTCTGTTACTATGGTTGGTTTTGGCTTTTGTTTGCTGTTTGATTATTCTCAGGTCATGTGTCTGTTTGTCTGTTTTTGGTTAGGGACTTATTGCAATGCTATGGATTACAAAGTGTCTTTGGCCTTAGCATGTGTTTTTAAGTTCTTTTAGTTGCTTAGTGGATGTCTTGTTGGTTATTTTTAGAGCACCGGGCTGTGGTGTTTCTCTATTATTGGGTCCAGTTGGATCCTAGGTTGTATTCTTGTACATTTCAGTGCTATATAAATCTCTATTGTTTCGGAAAAAAAGAATAATACTACATAATTCTCCAATAAATGGGGCGTTACACCATCTTTATTCGTCACTAGAGTTCTTAGGGGTAAATACTTTTCTGATTGCTCCATCTTGTAAGCTAAGAAGCCCTACAATGTTCCTGGCTGTGGACTAACTGGTTGGGTGTCAAAGATAAATTCTAATCCTTCTTCAGAGTGGTTATTAAGAATGGAAGAACAACAAGAATCTGGAGTGATCCATGGATTCCAGATGCAGTGGATGGTTTCTCTCTAAAAACTGATAGAGGATCACGGGAGGTTTACTGGGTGAGTGATCTCATTGATGATGATGGATGGCACTGGAACAGAAGGAAGATTGCTGAGTGCTTTAATCCAACAGATGCTGAAGCTATATTTAAGATTTCCACTCTTGATCCTTTAGCATGTGACAAATGGAGTTGGACTTTAGATAAGAAAGGTAAATTCTCAGTCTCTAATTCATATTCTCATTTGGTTCTTGCAAAAATCAGAGATCTTGACATAGCAGAAGGCAGTGCTACTGGTATGCTTGAACTGAAAATCAGAAATAGAAGTTGGGGGCTCAAAATGAAGCAAAAATTAAAGCATTTCATCTGGAAATGCTATACCAATACTCTGCCTACTAGCTGCAATTTGAGAAAGAAAGGATTATACGTTGATTCAAGGTGTAAAGGTTGTGGAGATGCAGAAGAGACTGTGGAGCATTTGCTTCTTCATTATGATAGAGCTCAAAGGATCTGGAAGCTATCACCTTTGGATTGGAAATCACCATAAGCCACAGATTCTTTCAAGCATTGGTGGTGGAATATGCTCTATGGATAGGAAAGTAATCTATGAAGATAAAATAGAGTTATCCACCTACATCTTATGGTGGCTTTGGAAGCCTAGATGTTTATGGAAGTTCCTAGACACATGGATGTCTGACCAGGCAGTGATCAAAGCAGCACACAGTGACTGGCTGGAGTTCGAAAATTGCAGATGCTAAAGGGAATGCAGATAAAAGAATGATGTCATCTAGGTCATTTGGTTCAGTGGAGGCTCATTGTCTTTTATGTTCTTTCTTTCATTTTTATCAGTCTGTTTTGTTGCTAGGATGTTGTTTTGATCATTTGGCTTGTACCTTATTCTTAGTGATCATTGGTTTAGGCTATCTTGCAGGATAGTCTCATGTGTTGTATTGAACATTGGGGTGTGGCCCCTCGGCTTGTACTTTGCTATATTGACTGAATTATCTATCGTTTTGAAAAAAAAACAAAAAAAAAAACCAAAAAATATAAAATTTTAAAAATAAGAAGTCATATATGTAATAATCAATATGAATTAAAAAGAAATGAAATATAATATATTGTAGTGTAGGAAAAGGAAACGTAAAATTGTTTATGGAAAATAGTTGTAGAAGCAAACAAGGAAGAGATCAGTCATAGTTTAATGTTTACAAGTGTAATTATCATTTTATAAAATATTAATTTACATTCAACACTAGCTACGGAGCGTGACTTTTTGCCAAATAAGATTTCGATGCGTACGAGCTTGCCAGTTAAGCTCAACGCATTCGACAATTATATATAAAAGGGATTGTTTCATGTTATTAGTTTGGAAACTGAAGTTAGGCATGTTTCTAATTATTTGGTATATGAATCGTAAGAATGCAAAAATAAAAACATTTGCACAAATATTTTCAAACCATATAGCAGGTTTGTAAATCAGCCTTCGCAAAAAGTCAACTTTTCGAAAATGTTAATTGAAATGTTTAATCCTCTGAAAATGTTTTATAAGAGAATAATAACTGCATCGGCTTCAAACCTGAAGACAAAGAAGAAAGATGAATGCGAGTGAATTTTAATATTTATTATAATTTAACGTAAAACTAAATACCTGGAAACAAAAAAGACAGATAAAGAAGAAGAAAGATAAAAGTGACCAACACATTTTAATATTTATTTTAATTTAAAGCATGTGAGATATGTAAACTAAATATGTTGATAATATTCAACAATTTGAAAACTAAGATATCATGAAAATTTTGATAAATACATTTTATAAAAAAAAAAAACCGCACCGATCGAACGAAGAATCCCTTGCCTGTACGTTTTGATGGTCCCGACATTTTTTTGGAATTTTTTCGGACGTCGAAAATGACCGGTCGAGGTTAAGAGTGAAAGAGAGGAGAAAAGAGAGTGAGTGTGGGATGGAGGGTAAATGTGACTTTTCGAGGACGATAAATAGTAATATGGGGGCGGTGTTTAATATTTCACTTACGGTCCAAGGTACTGTTTGTGGGAGTCGAGTGAAGCCGTCGCGTTTTAGAACTGGCAGTTAGAACCGATAACCATGACTATCCCCATTTACTGGAATGCTGGTCAGGTCAAACTCCGAAAAGTAAACCCACCGCATATAGACTTGGATTAGTCCATCTAACCGCTTAGATCTTAGTGGATTTGAGGACTGGAATTTTGACATTTCAAGCCTCGACCATTAGATAATAATCCAAAAAATATTATATGATCTAAATATTATAACATAACAAAATAGATGAATCAAAAAAGTCAAAACGACTTTTATAATGAACAAGAGGTAGTATAATTTACTTGTTGTATATATAAAATTTAAATTCCTTATAACTGTTGCTTTCATTGCAAAACTGCCAAGCAAAATACACCTAAAAGACGGTCGAGCAAATTATGTGTGAACTGTTTTAGATCATTTCCGCCTTTGCTCCAAAAAAATTTGTGCTTAATTGGACTCCACAATAAATATTATTATGTCCTCCACGTTAACTTGACTAGTTTCAAGAAAAAAGAAGTATACTACTAATAAGATTTCGGACTAATTGACCCTTCCCATTAAACAGACACAAAATTCGATGTCTTAATTGCATTTTCTAACTCCGATAAGCGTTTTCTGCTCATTTCATTTCTCAACCCCCACTCTCTCATCTGTACACACACCACCAGTTATTTTCTACTCTCTCGAATCAAAGATTGATAAATCCCAATATCAATTAAAAAAAAAAAAAAAAACTAATAACCCACCAAAAAGATGCTCAACTTCCTTTTTTTTTTTTTCCTAATTCAATTTGATTGATCGCTCAATCAACAATCAGTCAATCCTGCTTATACCCATCCTCTTCACCACAGCATTACTAATAGCTTCGGTCTGCATGCAAAATCCATTCTGCTCGTTCTCCGCCATGTAGTTCCTCACCTCCTTCCTCACCATATCCTGCATCACAGCCAAAAACTCAGCACTGAAAAACTGTTTATCTGCCGTCACCGTTCCTTGGCCGGCCATAGCCACATCTGCTGGCGCAAGAATCGCCAAGCCAAAAGCATTTGTTTTAAAGGGGGGATGGGTTGGGGTGGACTGAGCGAGATGATCAGGGCACGGGTTGGGAACGGATTTCGGGTTCGAGTCGGTTGGATTATCCGGATTCATGCCGTATCCGGGAAGTGAAAGAGATAGTGACGTAACGGGCTCCGGTTGGGGGTAGGGCGGCGAGATCCCGCCGTTTCTGGGAACGGGTCGGTAGACAGGGTTACCCGAGTGGCTCGACTCGCTGACATCGGATCCGGTCGGGCTTCCGGGGATGAAACAAAAGCCCGAAGAGGAGATGTTCATGACCGGCCCAACGCTAGCCGATCTCTTGAGCGGCGGGAGGGCCTCCGGGTCGAAACTATTAAACTCCTCGCACATGGATACGGATTTGCGCTTCAGAGTGGAGTTCCAGTGATTCTTGATGGCGTTGTCAGTCCGGCCCGAGAGAAGCCTGGCTATGGTCGCCCACTTGTTACCGAACTTGGCGTGGGCCCAGATGATCGTGTTGTCCTCCTCCGGCGTGAAAGCCCTGTGCTCCACCTGGGGCGAGAGTTGGTTGCACCACCTCAGCCGGCACGATTTGCCCGACCGGCCCGGAATCGATTTACTGATGAGGGACCAGTTCCACGGGCCGTGCTTCTCAACGAGTTTCTACAGCAAATCGTCCTCCTCCGGGCTCCACGGGCCCTTGATCCGATCAGATTCGTATCTCTGGGTCACTCACCTCACCTCACCTTTATGGGTGAACTACTAGTATTAGGTTGAACCTTATACTTTTGGATAGATAGATAATATCAATTTTCATTGTTGCACAATCCTATCTTCTCATCCAACCATATTATAAAGATGATCATAAATTGAGCTATGTAGCATCAATAATACATATCTAGTATTTCCACCACTTGTTGTATATAATCTCTCTCTCATATACTATAAACACACATATAATATCACATGATTTTTTTTATAGCCTTAAAAAACATTAGACATATAATACTTTTCAATTTTGTCATATCATATCTGTGAAACTATAATCTTCCAAATTATATAACCCATCATTTGTACAATGTAAAGGTGCTACCCATTCATAAGTCCAAGAAAGAACAATACATGAGTTTTAACATTCAATATCTAATGCAAGTGTGGGCGTCCTGGCAGGGCCCGGCTTAGGATGATCGAACCTCGCCTTCGCCGGTAGAACACCGGAAACCTGCAAATAACTCTCACACTGGGGTTGTGTTCGGTGAAGAGCCTCCGATGCTTAAGTTAGTATGTTTATGAGTACACTGGAGTTGAATAATGGAAAGATCGTGTTTAGGAAGAAAGGCTCACCCCCTTTATATAGGAGTGAGATACCTGACCTAAGGCTGGCCGATTTGGTGAGCTCGCTGCCCAAGCTGCTCGTGTGTACTCTGACACACCATGCACATGTAAGAGGTGGCGCGGGACCTTGGACGCTGTCAAAGGTGGTTGTCGCTATCAACCAATGTGTTCTCAACACGTGTCCTTCTGCACATGGAGTGAATATTCTTCATAAATTCCGTTAGAGGCTCTTACACGCGCCTGTGACTAGGCCGATCCATAAAGTGCAAGTCCGCAAAGTGGTCGACCTGTTGAGGTCGACTAAATTGTTCGATCATTTACCTGGTCGAATGATGGATTGATCGATTGCTTGACTGGTCGATCTTCCCGCCACTTGGCTCGGCGTCTTCACAGTACAGCCCCTTCAACCGGTTCAACAGACCGGTTTAGCCTTGCGGGTATAATATCCTATATCATCTAGTCCTCCCCCACTCTGGCGAGTCTGAATGACTCGATCTAAGAGTGAATTTGTGCTCGTCACTCTCCTGGGTTGTATTACATTCGGTATCGACCATTTGATGAGTTTCCCGCTCACTTTTTCAATTATTTCTTCTTTAATTGTCAGAAATAAAGTCGTTGTCACATGTCTTTTCTATCACGCCTGCTTTTCTGCCAAGCGTCACACTTGCCACTTCTGTTAGTCGCTTTAATTATTGTACCCCCTAGCTAAACAGCCCACTTCGAGCTCCATGTGAATTAATACTCTCCACCGTAAGATCTGGATTTAATTCGACGACTTTTATCTTTCAACCCTTCAACTTACCAAAGTATAAAACCTATACTTAGCAAAATTTCAGAGTTTTTCCACCTTTGCCATTTTCGAACTCTTTGTGCTCTGAAATTTTTCTGCAACCCTTGCTTTTCTTCTCGGCGGTTCCTCTTGCACTCTTCCGGCATTCTCGATTTCTTCATCTGCGACTATGAGTAAGTTATTCCTCGCTTTAATTTATGTTTCTTGCGTCTTAGATTTTGCGTTTTTGAATTTTTTGAATTGGGTATCTCGAATTTGCTGACTGGGTGTTCTGAATTTGTGTGTTGGGTACCTGTGTTCGTTTGTTAATCAATGTAAATTTTGTTCCTCTCTTAAAAAATCTTCTGAAATTCATGTTCTTCCTCTTTAATTTCTTCAAAATCGCCTCCTCGTAGAACCCTAGTTTTTGAAGGTCTCGTCTTTTTGCGAAAGTTTTCCCCCTTTTTCGCTTTTATTTTGTTTTTTCCAGATTCTTCAACTTCTAGTGAAAACGATCGCCATTTGTTAGTGTTATATACTGAAAGCTTGGCTTTGGATGATATTATACTTTTACACTTTATGAATGAGAAACATGTTAGATTAAACAAGTTTTACATTATGTTGTTTTGCATTAGATAGCGTGGGTCGTCATCGGGCGAACCGAAGATCATGCAATCAGTTATTCACAACCCAGATGGACATGAACACCCCATCGTGAACAGTTGTAGTGTCAACTGTATAGTTTGTCTTAACTGATTAGTTGCACTAGTACATTTATGTATTGAACATGATCCCAGATAGGAGCAGTTTGTTTTACACTTATCGTCGTAAATGAACTAGGCCTTGGTTAATTACTGCGTACTCTTAACCCATAGGATATTAAACAGACATATATGTGTAGTATTTATTACTTTGATTCACATGGGTGAGACTTAGGGAATTGGGCCAATAGACCCGCTGTCTTGGGTAATATTGGTACATGTAGGATGTGCTGTTAGGATATTTATGGTCACCATGTGCGTTAGTTTGATGATGTCCCCAGAGTGAGTTCATTAAGGATTATTATGGTAAACCCTGCAGGTGGATTAAATTCCGGCATAGTAATAATGTGATGAACGAGCGCTAGCTTCGGTGAAATAATAATAAATTAATTAATTCTTGATTGTCAGTAATTAAATTAATTAGTGGACATTATATCTTAAACATGGGGAGATAAATCGAGTAATTATTATTGGAGTCTCAATTGTAAATTGGGCTAGGATAAGGGAGTGCATTAATATTATGTGGTGGCCCATTTAATATTATTTAATTAATTAAAATAAGTAGCTTGGTCCACAAGTATTTTAATTAATTAAGGAGCTCTAATCCTAATCTCCTAAGGATCCCTACTATAGCTCTATATATACATCATTAAGCTCATGGGAAGGGAAGAGAATTATACATCTTGTGAAACACGCCCCACACCTCTCTTCTCTCTCTTAGTTCCCATTTGAGCTTTATCTTCTTCTCGTTGTTCCACTGGTACAAGATTAATATGTGTTTGAGATATACAGTAGAAGATCTTTGGGTAAAGTGAGACGAAATATATTTTGTCGCACAGAACTAACTGGCGGTCCGATCAAGACGCGCAGTATACCCAGACGACCGTCGCGACGAGAGCTTTCCAACGCCGCCGAGATCGCAGCCGTCCAACCACCCACGCGCCTGCACGCACCTCTGCAAGGTCCCAGGACTGCAACTTGTCTTCATCCGTTATGCACTCGTTTGATCTGGTTTTCGATCTGATCTTGTTCGTGCAATCCTAGGACACGATTTGTAGTCAACAAATTCATTGTTGTGCTATGTACGGCCATCCAGAAGATCAGTCAAATCGCCATAAATTTTAAGCCGTAAGTTCTCTACGCAAACCTTTAGATCCGTTGCGCATAGGTTTACGTTTTTCTATTGAATTCGTGATTTGTGCATAACGAGATCCTCATTGATCCCAACAAGTTGTATCAGAGCTTGGTTTAACTCGTTGTGTACAAGTTCAAATTTTTACGGCTTTATTTGTCAAGATGTGTTCAAACGCAGCCAAATATTAGATTATATTTGCATAATCCGGTTTTGCAGGAATTAATTTAATCCACTATTATGGCCGATTATGTGTTTGATGAATGTTGATGAATGTGATGTATGGTTTTAAATTTGTTTTTAAAGCCTCAGACATGTCGAGGAATTTGATGGATGAATGTTTGTAATAATTATTCACCTGGGGGTTGACTGGATAGATTTAATTATTTGTTTAGAAATCATGTACATCAATTTGTTGGATCTAAGATTGGATTATGTAATTTTGTAAATTATATTTTTCGTGTTGTGATCGTGGATTAATTGTTGGGAGATCACAAGAGATCAACGATCCTCGAAAGATCAACCGGGAAAAAGCCCGGAGGTGTGCACGGACACGCGCGAGAAAATATTTTTTTATTATTTTCCGACCACCGGCGACGGCGGCCGAGCGGCGGCGGCGGCGGGCTGTCAGCGGTGAAGAGATTTACTTATCTACAAGGATTCTACTGCAGTGGGAGTTCCAGTTGAACAGAGAAAGAATATACAAGGTTTCCTTGTATATGGGAACTCAATATTTAATGGCCATAATAGTGGATTTATTTATTTAAATTCATTATGCCATTAATTATTGATTTATTTATTTATGCATGTTAATTAATTATTGTACTTGCATGGGATTAATTTAGAATTGCATATTTAATTATGCACGTTAATTAATTATTGCATTTACATAGGATTAATTTAGAATTGCATAAATATTTAAATAATTAAAAATCCTCATTTAAATTATACTAAGTTTGAGAAGGGATTTGAAATTAAAGTTAATTGTAAAATTCCTAAGGCCTCCATTTCTAATTTTTCGGTAAATCAATTAATTGCGGTTATGGGCTCCCCCTCGGGTGACATTGCTAAAATAAATTGTAGGAAATTACCAGGACGAATTTCTAATTAGACAATTAGAGGGAGTCTTATAAGAGAGTACGGGCTTCCTCTCGGATGATGTATAATCGAATTCGTATGAACTCAGGATCGAGATATGAGATTCACTTAGAATGCGATTTATTTATAACTCCCCTCGGGGTCCCTGAATTTATTGCTTGGCCAAATGGATACCGACTATTAATTTCATTCGTCATGAATTTGGTTTTGACTTATGAAAATTAATGGGCATTTGAAAGCCATTCTCTTGCGAATGTTGAGTTGTGTAGAGTTGCCCTCGCATCATGCATTAACTTTCGGTGTTTTGAGATGTCGGTGAATTTAAGTTAATATTGTTTTGAGGATATCTATATTAGCAGTTAAATTCAAATGTGTTTAATCTGTAAAATTATTTTCGTGTTTCTCAGATATTCATCATGTCGTTTAATCCGTTATCTGACATTCTAAAAGAAAATCAACTTACTGGTCCTAGTTACATTGATTGGAAGAGGAACTTAGACATTGTGTTGACTTCTGAGGGTTATAAGTTTGCGATTACTGAGGCTTGCCGGCAGAGCCCGCGGCTGATGCTACTGAGCAGGAGAAAGGGGAGTATGTCCAGTGAAAAAAGGCTGATGAGATGGCGAAGTGTTACATTTTGGCATCTATGTCAAATGTTCTTCAACATCAGCATCAGTCTATGAACACTGCGGCAGATATACTTCTTAATCTCGGAAATCTGTTTGGGCACCAGTCTAGCGCTGCTAAGCAAGAGGCCATGAGTGCTCTGATGACTACGCGCATGGCAGAGGGCACACCCATAAGGGAGCATGCTCTTAAGGTTATGGCGCTACTCAATGAGCTTGAGGTTATGGGAGGTTTTATTGACGGGGAAACCCAGGTTGATATCATGCTCCAATATCTGTCGAAGAGCTTTGATAAGTTCCGGTTGCACTACAACATGCACAAGATGCATATGGCTCTTCCAGAACTGTTAGCAGAGCTTTAGCCAGCGGAGGCCTTATCC